TGCGGCAGCTTCCTCGCAATGGCGTCGTACAACACGTCGAAAGGCGTGCTGCTCTCGCCGCCCGAAGTGGAGATGGTAGTGGTGGTGGTAGTGACGGTCTTGCTGACCGTCGTCGTTATGCTCGTCGACGTCCCAGCATCCTCCGTCGTGGTGTTCATCCCCGCTTCCATGTCGCACGCCCTCGCGATGAGGACGTGGGTGGTCGATCCCGATGAAGCTAGCAGCCAGAACAACAACGAGAGGACAAAGAAAAACGGTGCCATCGCCTCCAACTCGGCGCTCTTCTTACTTCGCTGCAATCGATCCGCGTCCTCAATTCCTTCACTTCTTTGTCGAATAAAAGTGACGCTCTTTGCAGCGTCTGTGCGCGTCGGTTCTGTCGAGGAAGCTCGACAACCTAGTGCGCTCGTCAGTCGTCTTAGTGAGACCTGAATGATCGAGCAATCAGGTCAGTGAGCAGTCAGCTCAGTGCAAGCGTCGGTCCGATTCTCTCGCGCTTGGCAGGCGTAGGTATGGGCATCCGACCACCGTGGCTCAGCTGTCCGCCCGATCACAAAGAAGAAGAAGCGGTCACTCTGGAAAGGATCGCAACGAAGGTTCGATTCGTGAAGAAGTCGACGCACTCTTTGGAATAGATGCTCCTCGGCGCGCAGTACAGCAATTGCCCGTTTCTTTCTACTTCGCTATCGATTCGAGAGGAGATACCAGATATCCCGCCGTCGTGGATATGATCGCCTCGTGGACTGGCTATGGTGATGATCCGCTCGGCGCGCAGTGTCGTCCCTAATTTCCCTCCCTGTTCGTTCGGACTCCGCGACCTAACAGAGGGAGGAATCGAGCCTGAAGTCAGCTATACTAGCTCGCCGGCTGTCAGCCAATAGCTCTTGCTGTGTACGCGTAGTAGGCGGCGCAATCAGAAGCGAAGGGCAGCTGCTACTTGCCTGCTAACGGCTACTACCGGCAGTGCTTCACGTCGAGGCTGAAAGCACGTGTACACGTGTATGTATAGATGTATATACATATCAGTTCAAGCATATGCGCTTATGTAAAAAATAAATAAATGAAGAAATGGATGATGTGCAGAGGCCTTGCTTCTCACAAGATGGATCGCTTCAAACTTGTTCGGCGGCCCATGCATTGTTGCCCAAGCCTACCAGCGACTCGCTCCAACACTCGTACGCGTTTGGCTGTGGAAAGCCTGTCACCTACTCTCCACTCCACTACTTGCAGTAGGGTATCACCTATATATATATAGGTCTACAGATATTTACAGATGTATGCATCGCTGGATAGGCATTCAAATGTTTGAAATGCTGACTTAGGGTCTCGCTCAACTACTCTTCACATGCACAAAAGACAAAAGAATATGGCCGTGTATCTTCCCATGTTCTAGCGGACGATTCATTCCCGTATTTTGACATCGGGGGAGTACTGGAGCGAGGCCCTCTGAAGCTGGATGCGCGAATAATCACAATGTGTGTTCTTTGGAGTCAATGTCGATGGGACTGTGAAGCCTGGGCAGCAAGATTCCGTTGGCGCACGGTCTCTCTGTCCGGACAGAGAGACCGTTCGTAGGCGACTACTGTAGCCCAAGACAAGACGAACGGCCTGTGTCTCTTAGGGCATCGCCGCACCATTCTCGAAGTGTGCAAAAAAGAATGAATTTCCGGCTAGAACATGGCCAATGCACCCGCCACATTTTTGTCTTTTCCACATTTCGAGGCCCTTTAGTCCCAGCACTCCGTGTGATCGATCCCGCTTGCTCGGATTGACATCACTTCTCTGGCCCCAGATTTTTGAAGAAGTGACCGTCAGAAGATGCAAAAAGGCAAATGGATGGTCAGGAACCTTCAAGCGGGGACGTGGGTGCCCCCCCGTTTCCAACAGGTGCGGCTCCTCACCAGTGGAAAGACTGAGGTCAACCCAAGAAACAATGACCATACGTTCTTCTCAGGGCAAAATGGCCGGAGGTCAAACGTTTACCGTGGAATAGAACGCACTGTAATCATCGATGTATTTGGGCCATCTTTGAGACAATGTACAG